ACATTCCTTTCTCTGTGAGCTATCATTAACTTTTCTTTTAATTTAATAATTTACCATTTTTTCCTGATTGCAAAATTAAATGTGCACATCATAGAAAGTTTGGGAAATACAAAAATTCCAAAGAACAAAATAAAAGTGATCCCTAATCACACCAGTCAGAGACAATCACTATCCCTATGTTGGTCTGAGACTCTAAACTCTGTGATAATAGGTAACATGGTGGTTACTGTGTGTCTAGCATGTTTAAATACTTCGCATTCATCAACTCAATAATCATGTGGTCATTCGGTCCTAATCTAGGTGTTCAGGATGCAGAAATAGACTATGGAGTAGAAGTGACATAGGTTGCCTCCCTGGTAAGTAAATAGGAGAGTCAAGTCTATTTATCTGTTTATCATGATTATAGTAGATGTTCTGTTGCTGTCCAGATACCCTTTCTGGACTGAAGACTTTTTCCCTCAGCTGCCGGGAATGTTGACAGCCTTCAGCTGTCTGTCTTTTTTGGAAATTGCCTTGGGTGAAGCAAGTCACCTTACCCAAGATCACTCTGGCTTCTGGGGCAGCCCATACTCAATGATGGGTAATGTGGGGATTCAAAGGCCTGCCCCCTGCCCCAACTTGACACTACTCCCAAAGGTCAAACCTGCTTTAGATCTTCACATAGGCCTGGCTGAGGCCTCACTGAGACTGCACTGTGGTCCAACCAACTTCTCCCTATATACAGTCCTGCCTCGTCACTTCCTTTCCACAGGTGTTGATGTCAGGAGCACTTCCTAACACATGTCTTCTGTGCTGCTACCTGCCTCAGTGTCTGTTTCCCTGGGAACTCAGCCTATGACTACTGGTAGCCGCAGTGATTGTAGAAAGCAGGTGCTCAGATGGGATTTTGGAGTTAGATCACCCACCATCCAGCTAACAATAAGGACCCTATGGATGTCAGAAGGTGGTGTACAGATAGGCCCTAGCACAGGGTAGCAGTGAATTTGATAAAAGTTTCACTGATGATAAACTGGAGAGAGCATTCTGGTGGAAGGGAATGCACTAGTGGGTGTGATCGATCAGGCGTTTGAGAAATATGGGGGAAATAATATGCATAAGGACAGTAGAATGAGAATAATCAACACTTTGAAATATTGCAAAGGATTAATCAGCAATTTAAAACCTAGTGTGAAAGCCAGAGGACCTCCTTGGGAGCATGCAAGGAGATGCTCACCTGCGCCTGGAGGACAGCAACTATGGTCAAACTCACAACCTAGACAGGACAGAGCCCTGCCTGGGAAAGAATGGAACCTCAACATATGGAATGTGAATATCTGAGTTGATGTACTCCCAAACCTTGAATTTCCAGATTACTTGAACCCTCCGAGCCTGCAGCAATGGCCTGCCTCTCCCTATGAAGGGCCAGTGCTGCCTCCTTCATGATGATGCAGAGGACTCTTCCCTGCAGGACAGCACATGCCTCCCGTAGAATCTGCCACCATCTGTCCACCTGAGCACAAGGCCAGTACCTAAGGGAAAGTCACAGCATAACCTGGACAGAGACAAGCTGGGCCTGATAAGGAAGGAAAGGGCTCCTATCCCAGAGTTGCTGCCAAACCTACTGACATGTACCAGGAGCTGCATGAGCGTATGCAGGGGGTGACATTCTGAAGGCGTGGGATCA